GTTTTAAAAATGTTCGGGCGCACCGCGCCCTCATCGCTGCGATGCAGCGGCGTCCGGCGGGTGTAATGCCGGATACGATGCACTTATCGGGGGTGCATCGTTACAAACAAAAGAGATTGGGACCAGTACCTGAAATTAGCATGTTTCTCTTACAACACCAGTGTACATGAGGGAACGCAATACACACCTCATGAGCTGATATTTGGCAAAACGGCTCGTGTACCGGCCAGCACGACACTACCGGAAGACATCAATAACGATAGTTACAATTATTATTTTGAAACCCTGCATAAAAAAATAAAAGACATTCAGGAAATAGCTCGCAACAACCTTAAGAAAGCGAAAGATAGATCTAAGCGTTATTACGATAAGAAAGCGAACCCTTACGAATTTAAGGTAGGCGATAAGGTATTTTTATTGAAAGAACCAACAAGTAAGTTAGGGGACCAATATACAGGCCCGTATAGAATAATAGAAACGTTCAGAAATAATAATGTTAAACTTAAGTTAAATTTAAGGAACACTAAGATAGTGCACACCGATAAATTGAAACCTTGCCCCACCCCATCGGAAGAAGAACCCTGTCAACAGCGGTTATCGGAGAACTCGGCCGACAGTTCAACCTCGGACGACGAACAGTAAACATGTGCCTCTTAATCTTCACCACACTAAGGCCGCACTTATCGGATACGACTGCGGAGGCGAGGGCTTTAACATTACGACCCTTTCCCTCTTAGACGTGGGGGAATGCAGCATGGAGAGCATCGAACCGAAGGAAGAAGAAATGTACGTGCAACTGTTGCAATCGTCCGACTACGATAAGACAACAATTATCCAATGCAGAATGGAAATAGACAAGACCATCCACTATTGCGGGATGCACTCCCACGTCTCCATCGTACACAACGGGAAGAGAGAATATTTGCAAGAGATCGGAGAACAGGGATGCAAAAGATTGCACGCCACGGGCACCATTCGAATTGCTAACGCCGAGATAGATAGAATCCAACAGAACACCACGAATCTGAGAAGCATTACACTAGCCGGATCAACCACGGTAGACGGACGGTGCTCCGGATTCCAGTACACAGACGGCTACGGAACCTGGGATAACGTAGTCGTTCAAGCTTCCGTCAGAATTACTCTGCGGACCTTGGAAGCACCAATTAAGAGGACGACGGGTAATATAATTACACCATCAGGTACTCATTGCAGGCTGACGACAGGATGGTGCACGGACACTGAAGGGATGGAGACCTTTTGGGCACCCCTACTCATCGACCACTGTCATTTTAATCAATATGATATCCTCTACGAGGGACCAGCCACCAAACTATTTTCGAGAAACAGCCCGATAACGCCGACTGTCTACACAGTCACGACACAGGACACAACCTTCGCCTTAACCAAGACATCAGATTTCGACATTTGCGGATACAGGCTAGCCCAAACGGAACACCCAAAATTGTTCATCTTGGAGACGCAAAAGGGAAAAACCTTCGGGAGTCGATCTAAGATAGCAGTCGATAATCTTGACATCTTTTTATATGTAAATTCCAAATTCATCTATGTGGAAAAGCATATAAAAACACAACTTACGCAGCTGTACCGAAATATCATGGAGCAAAAGTGCGCTCTTGAAAGACAGGTATTACAGAACGCACTAACACTCGCTAGCATCGCACCAGACGAGATGGCATACCGCATCACGAGAGAACCAGGATACACAGCAGTAACTTCAGGAGAAGTTATATACCTGATAAAATGCATCCCAGTAGAATGCAAAATGCGACACGCGGAGCAATGCTATAATGAACTACCAGTGACACACCGCAACACATCTCTCTTTCTACTACCGAGATCGAGAATACTATCAAGAACCGGCACACAACGTGACTGTAATAACCTCTTACCTATTATGTATAAAATCCACGGAGGATGGTTTAGGATGACACCCAAACCAGTAGAGGTACTGACGCCGCCCATCATTCAACCACTGACGCAACCGGCGTGGCGCTACATCGATGCAGCATCCTTAGCAACGAGCGGAATATACAGCAGTGAAGATATAGACCGACTTTGCTCTCACATCATGTTCCCGATCGAAAAACCGTCCATGTTAAACACTATAGCAAAAGGAGCCATGGGCGAAACCATTCAACCCGGTAGTGTATACATGATGAATCTGTTGGATGAAAATTCATTAAACCAGATCGCGGAATCCGCCGGAGGGAAATTATGGAGGAGCTTCGTCACCTTCGGTTCTGCCAGTGCGGGCGTACTGGCAATTTTCATAATCGTAAGAATTGTGAAACTAATCATAGACACCATGATCCACGGATACGCCCTACATACAGTGTATGGATGGAGTTTACACCTGTTGGGAGCAGTATGGAGCTCAGTAACCCACCTACTTCTACACCTGGGAGGCAAACAACGAGAGGAACCAACTGCACCCGAAGATGACCTTTCAGCGTGCCATAATACCCACCTTGAAAAGCAGGCCCCCCAAAGTGCGAGTGCGAAAACAAGTGTAAGCGAAAATGTAAGCGTGATCGTAAATGAAAACGAAACCAAAGTGCATCAGATATCGCCCCGTTACTCATACATTGAACTACGCAAATACTTGAAAGACACTAAGCACACAGACAATGCGCCGTAAAATATTGGCATGCGCCAATATTTTAAAATAAGGGGGAGGGTGTTACATCCGACAACGTAAGCCCCTCACTAATTTTAAACATTAAAGCAATAAGTAAGTGGTATAAGGTTAAGACTAGAATATAAGTAAGTACAGCGCTTAGCGTACTCATAATACTCATAACCATAATGCATACACTCTAGAACGTAAGAATCCCCTCCATAGAGACGAGGCATCGATGCAGCAAGGTGGTGGAAGACGGAGTCAAGCCCCACCACCTGCAGGACGCGCCGTCTCACGCGTGGGAGTAGCCCGCGCGTGGGAGAACCAACGCCGCTC